TCTGTGGAAAAATACTGGACTACACCTAGATTTCTGTGTTCTGTTTGCTGTTTATACAAAATGGAACACAACACATTATTTTCATAGCTTGTGTTTGTTAGCAACATCGCCTAGCATCTCTCATTGTAAACTAAAGAAGATCACATCAGATATCAAACATGTCTTATCTGTCGAGCTGCTGAAAGGGCAAGATGTTGAGCAGGACACTTTGTTTCAGCCTTGTTGAATTCTGTCTCTCGCAGATAGATGTAGGAATGTGTGACACTGTGCAGGAAGTCAGTGCAGGACTCTAGTACAAATTCCTCTGCACATTCCTCAATCACAGGAAATGTGCTCATCCCTCCAAAATCATCTCATATTCCAGCATTCCCTCCTTTTAGCCCCCTTCACAAAAACCATATAAGATACCAAGAGTATGATCAGAGACATGTAGCTGTATTGTTTTGTCTTGCAGTTACAGAATGTGTTTGAAGTGTTCATCAGTCCTGAATGCTTTAAATACTGATATATATTATATATATATATATATATATATATATATATATATATATATAGTGCAAATATAGATTATATACTTGTTGTTGTATCAACAATGTACTACACTTGAGTTTTACACTGAAAATTATGGTGCACTTTAAGTAATGCTGCAGTAATCTAACGAGGAATTTCTAATTACAGTATGAAGATTAGTAGAGTATAGCAAATTCGGAAAAGGTTATATGAATACTCTGAGTCTTGAAATGCACTGTATTGAACTGTACCATCATAGAAGAGTGTGAATGATTTGGAGTGTTGTAATCCAGGGAGATGCAAGAAGTACTATTTTCTACATTTTAGAACAACAAAAACTATCAAACATCAAAACTACAAAATAACACATTATGTTATAATTTAAATGAATGGACCAATAGAAATGCTCCATAATTGCTTGGAAACAAATCTTGTTCCATTTATTTCCATTCAAAGTTAAGAACGTGTTACCTTCTCTTGTAAAGTTACCTTTTTGGACATACAAGGTTTTGTTGTGACAGCAAAAAAAGCAAAACTTGCATTTTAAGTGTAATTTTCACAGCACAATTTCTTTTAAATTAAGAATGTCTATTTTGGAAACTTTCATACATAGGCATAAAAGTCAAAGACAAATTTAAATTTGTCTTTGAAACAAATTTCATTTACATTTAGGCATTTAAGCAGAATTATTTGCATCAAAATGTCTTCATCATTATGAAAAATGCGTATTCAGTTAGTTGTGTCCAAACCTTTGACTTGTAATGTAAAGCAAAATATCTGTTTAAGATGAGCTTAAAATGAAGTCAGTCTTTGCACAAAATGCTAAAATTGCTAATACATTATTACTATCATGTAAAAGCAGGTTGCTACTATATATTCTTCAATTCACAGTGTAATTCTTAATCAGCATTTCCAGTAAGCCCTGACTGAATAAGAATTGATGAAATTAGCTCAAAGGAGTTCAGTGATATAACGTTACACGTTACACACACATGTTTGCATGCCACTGAGACCATACACCAGGCTCAACTCCAGCTACTTTCAGTCACTGTTAAGGAAACATACTGAATGCCAGTGGTGAGGGAGCTGCCATGTAGGCATTTGATCCTTCCTCCTCTGCAGCGTGTCTCAGTACCCTCCTCTCTTAAGAGCCCTTATTTATCTTTAATTATGACCTCCTGCAGCCTCCCTGCTCGTCTCGGCACATTCAGCCCTGTTCTGCTCCCTGTTTGCCTTCTAACAGCCTAATCATCCCCCCATCCTCCCCCTCACTGCGCCACGGTACAGCCTTTTAAAAATAGACTGCACCATACTACATGCTGTGATGCTGTCTTCATCGATGTGATGTGAGGTAACACTAGCTTCCTGCAGCTCCACACTTCCACACGTACAAGATTAAAGTGCATTGGGCCTTTATTTCTCTCACTTCAGAGCATTCGCTGAAAAAAGGAGCGGGAATGCAGGGTAACAATGAGGGATGTAACTTTAAAGCTTTGTGCCACCTGCGCTGCTGCATAATGTGTGAGACAGGCTCTGAGAGCTCCAATATTCTGGCAAATAATCTCATGTCTGACTTCTCAGAACATCTCCACAGCCTTTTAGAACTGCAGCCAGCTTAGTGTATCTCCATCCAACACAGAGCTTTTTTTCCCTTCTTTCTAAAAATGCCACGCATCCAGGAAAACAGTGTAACATGTTGGAGGCCCATTCATTGTCTGAGACTAAAGGCTAAATAACATCAAAAAAATTGTAGGATCTGAAAAAAAGAGCATTTTGTCGATGATGCTATTATTGTTGTTTTTTCCACACACTATGGAGTGTGTCTATGGAGCAGGATTTCTCAGTTTCGCAAGACAAACTAAGCCTAAAGTCAAGCCTGTCCAAATGGAAAAGAGCTGAGGGATATTCCTATAGTTATCTGCCCTTATGTTTTCTGTCTAACTCAGAAATCTGGCTTTGTAAAACACTCCCCATATTAAAAATGCAAATTTCCAGCACCCAATCCTACTTGGTTCTCTTAATGTTTCAACCATCACATACAATACTGTGCAAACATTAGAGACCATTTATTTTCTTTCCAATTATAGTTATTCATTTTTTCAGGAGATATTTCTGAGGAGATTAGATATTAGATAATGCACTCGCAAAAGGAAATTCAAGGAAAATGCAGTTGAAAAAATCAATACAAGATACAGGGAAAATGGTACTAACAATGATGCAAAGCCTGGCAGACCACCAAAACTGTCACTATCAGATAAACAGTATCTGATTTTAGTACACAAAACCATGTTTTCACTAGCGTTCAATCACCTGTAACTACAAATCATTACTTAAAATGAGTCTTTCTTATCTACATAGGTAGTGGGTCCTCTTCCAATGGAGGCTTCCATGTTGTGCCGCCATGTTTCTACACTAGCCCAGAATGGATAAATCAAACACTGGCTCTAGAGAATGCTCTCCATGTTTTACACTGAAGTGGCAGCTCGAATTTGGTGGCGAAAACGTAGAAAGAATATCAGTGGTTGCTACCAGTGCTGTGTTGTGAGAAATTTGAGAACCCAAATTCTAACAAACAGAGAAACATACTTCTTATTAAGCACAAGAAAAAACAAGGGAAGCAGAATTCTTGTTGTTAAAGAAGCGAAAACATGACGACTACCGTAGGTCCTGCTACACTCTTAGAAAGAAAGAGGTGAGGGAGGGGCATTCAGTTGGCTGCAATCTGCAACCTCACTACTAGATGTCACTAAATATTACACACTGCTCCTTTAAAGGTTTCATCATTGAGAGAGAGCAGAGAATCAAACTCCACTCTTGCTTCAGAAAATAAAACTAACTTCTATGACTGAACTTTGGAGGTGTGGAAAAATATCCCTGTAGATTTCTGCTGCACCAATTCAGTAAAACAACACAGGCATGAGAGAAGCATTAAAACCGGGTGATAAAAGTTATTTGTTTCAGGATCGAAAGAATTATCTCACAGTGAGTCTGGGGTCAAACTATGGCGCTCTGAGGGTCTTTTTCAAACAGATTCTAACTTCTGTTCAGTTCCATTTAAATGGGTGTTTAGAAATACTATTCTGGTTTCTTAAAGAATGACTCTCCACTACAAAAGGGTCAATGTTTTTACCACAGTTCAAACAGACAAAGATTATTCACACATCGCCAGAGATGCTCATAAACCTATGTCCAGATTATATTGACACAGGTATTAAAACAAGAAAACAAGTTCAAATCCGAATCTAAAATAAAAATATGGTCTCTTAATCTAATCACAAAAAGAGTTATTGTGGCGTGTGTCAGTACAGGGACTTGCAAAATGAATCACACTATCCAAGTTTGTGAGATTGCAAAACGAGGCATACAGGTTTTAAATAGAGTAAAATGTGTATTATAATTTACAAACTTTATCAATAAACTTCAAACTGAATAATCTTACCTCATGTTCACCATTCCTCTTGATGTAATGTGTTTATTTTTTATGGTCCAGCATCATTGCAGGTTTTGCTGTTACAATGAAACATGAAGAAATTACAAGGGAAAAAAAATTTGCTCAAGCTCTTTTTAATCCCTGGATCAATATTTATGACACGTTACAGATCCTCCATAGGACTTTCTGTAGTCTACAGTAGACTAAAACTAATAATTCTATGTAGTTTGGGTTGTATAAGGCATCGTAATCATCTTGATTACAGATAGGTGTGCACATGGCTTTTTAAAAATGTAACAATTTTGTACCCCCCTTCCTGATGTGTTTTTCAATACCTTTGACTTGCTTTGAATGCTGCTTATTATTAATTCAAGCATAGAGTTTTTTTTTATTTGGTCATTTTAAAAACTGGTGGGGTATCAATACTTTTGCTACTCTGTGTTGTGAGATCTCTGCCTGTAGCTTAATATTCCCCCCAGAAAACACAGTCTATAGTCACATGCCAAAGTTTGGACTCCAGTGGTCAAATCAAGTTTTGTTCACAAGTGACATTATTTTCTAAGTGAAAATAAGTTAACGCTTCTAACACATTTCTGCACGTTTTAATGCATAATATATGATTTTTTCTGAATTTAATACATGGTATGTTAAACTCAGCATAAAATATTAAGTGTGCACTAAAGTGTGCGGGGAAATGTCATATTTAAGTTGCAACTTATTTTCACTTAGGAAATTAATAAAATGTAATTTTACTGGCGGTGTACAAACTGCTGCATAAGACTATGTGGAATGTAGAGTATGTACAGTTTATATTCAACAGAGATGCACTGTAGAGCAAGTTCAGATAATTGAATCAACACTACTCTTTTTCTCCTGGAAGCCATAAAATGGCCTTGACAGGTTGTCAATGCCTCCTACACAAATACACAGACCCGAGAGAGAGAGAGAGAGAGACAGAGATAGAGAGTGTAAATTGCTCATTCTTTCGTGGTGAAGAAATTAAAAGGGACGGTCAGCCTAATATTAGCTGCTTAGAAATCTGACAAAAAAGACAAGTTCAGTCATTTCTTGTGCACCTTTATTGGTTCAGAAATTATAGGTATCTGTGACAAATTCGGAAGGCTTTTGATCCACCCAACCCTGCAGCTGTTGACTAACTTCACTGTCACCCTGTCCAGTTTCTTTAATTCAAGTCTTCAGAACGTAACAGAAAAGTACTAAACAAAAGTGTAAAGAATAAAAATTGCAATAAAAATTATTTCAAAAACTAAAGTAAACAAAACGTAAAACATTTTCATATTTCCACATGGCAATAAATATGGACCATAGATTTCTCATCTGTACAGACATAATTTCATTTCTTTTTGTATATAAAAAATATGACTTCAGTGCAATTTCTTTGCAAAACTCTCTCCACTCCTTCAGCTGTCTTCAGTACAAACGTCTTTTACTTTTACCCTGACTTGAGGAAAAAAAAATACACCTCCCAATTCTGCTAACACCAACTCCACCAAAAGACAAAACAAATCATATATTAATAAAAGAATTCACAGCCTTTCATCTTTGTCTACACTTCAAGCAATAAATTCTGACAGAAAAGGCACACGTAACTATATTTTGAGTAATACTGAACAAGGGACAAGATATTGGAATTACTCTTGGTTTAAGTATTCACCTTGGTCATTTATAAATTTATTCATAGTTAATTTTAACAAGTATTTTAACATATACATATTCAAATAGATACCTTAAGATTGATTGTAATGTCAGTAAAGATACAGGTGAGAGAGAAGTGATAGATTTACAGAAACATTGTTTTGTCCAAACAAAAAAAGTGCATCATATTACAATCTTGAATATTGCAAAAACAAACATTTACCAAGTTACCAACAGTATTGAAAATTTGTATAAAAAAACAATAGCATTACAAAACAAAAGGAACAATAATAATAATAATAGTAGCAATTAAGAGCATTTTGACATTGAGCACAAAGGCTATTAAGTGCTGTCTGGGTTGCTTTCCTGGCTCTGACCTGGGCAGGCAGATTTTTCTCCTGCACTCTCCTCGGTCGTTGACTCTAGTTCTGAAAGCTGTTTAGTTCTATGTGAGGAGGCTCTTTCCTCCTTCTCACCAAAGCCAGGGTTCCTCTCTGTGCCTTTACTGTTATCTTGGCCCACTTCTTGAGATGTGTGAGGAACAATGGTGCGAGTCTTGGAGGGCCGTGAGCTGCCATATTGCTTTCTGTCTTTGTCCCTCTGCTCCCCATTGCCGTATTGTGGAGATGATTTGGCTGATGTGGATCTGCTAGCAGGACCTTTCAGCCCTGATGGCCCGGCTCCTCTCTCCAGGCTCTGTGTTTCGCTAAATGCCAGAGTGCTTCGCTGGCTTGTTTCAGGGTGTAGGCTCCATGGTGCGTCCCTCCTGCCCAGGAAGAAAGGGGCATCCTCATTGGGAGAGGTGGGTGATGGGGTGGAGGATGAACTTCGTTCCAGTTTGGGACGAGTTCTGGGTCTAAGCTGCACCATCTGGATCCCTCCGATAGGGATCATATGGTAAGGCATGCGGGCCTGGTCCTGGGAGTGTAATGGGAGATGGCTAAACATGCGGTCCAGAGTTCGTGGCGTGACTGGCAGGTGGGGTGAAGGATCAATGTGAGAGAGGCGCAGGGCTGATGGTAAGAGGCTGGGATGTGGAGGGCTTAGCCTCTGTGGAGTCTGCAGAGCACCAGGAGTACCAGGCCTCTCCTGCAGGGGGAGACATGGTAATACAATCACACTTTAAAACAAGTCTTTTCTTTTTCACCACTGATCTATCTCACATCTATCTCAGGTACATAATGTCCAAAAAATACCCATATGCTCCTTCTAATTAGGGGATTCTGCCACTTAAAGGTGCAACCACTGCTGACACGGCTGTTAAAACATGCACACACAGCTCTGTAATCTCTAAAGAAAAGCACTGCCCATACAATGAGATGCTCCAAAACAGCAATGCACAGTATATTGTGCCAGCTACAGGGAGTATAAAGTTTACCAGGACTGGACTGTGGAATTGCAATTTTTGGAGTGATGAACGCATCTGGGAGGAATTGGACTATTGTTTGTGAACCAGACCTAATAAGCCAACATCTGTGCTCCATGTCAGCATTGTCGCTGTTGTAGAAAAACCTATTTCCGAAATTGTAACTTCACAGGAGACGGAAATATCTCTCATGAGTGTTAATGTAATTAACTTTTGTCCCAAGTAATTCTGAACCATTTTTATTGGTCCATTCCTTATGAATCACATATAAATCACAATGTAAAGGGCAGCTAGCATTTCCAAATAGTGTAAAACATTAAAAACTAAAAAAAGGGTCTTAATATGACATAATGATACTCTCGTGGCTGAAAGAAATTAAATTCCAGCAGCAATATTCAAACATTTTGTGGAAAGCCTTCCCAGAAGAGTAGCAGCTATTAGTGCAGCAGAGTTAGAACCATCTCCCTATTAATACCCTTAAGAAGAAATGCTGCAAGAGCAGGTATCTGCATACTTTTGGACTAAGCTGTTCAGCAACAAAGTACTGATGAGACTCACTTTCTGGCTCTCTCTGGCCTGAGTGCTGGAATCCCAGTGAAACTGTCCAGGGGAGCTGTGGGGTCTGTGCTGGGGTCTGTGCTGGGCTCTGAGTGGCGACGGTGAGACATTAGCTCTGGAGCTCCTGTAGCGGGCAGGGGAAAGTGGCCGGAGAGGAGAGAGAGGCCTGACTGGAGAGGCTCTTATAGGAGAAGGGCCTCTCTCTGGGGAGGGAGAGAGATGTCGACTGGGTGAGGACAGCTCAAGTCTGGGGGACAGACTCCTGAGAGGTGACCCCTCACTTACAGGGGAGAAAGCTCTGGGAGAAAGCTCCCAGCCCTTGCGGGAGAACAGTGCCCTCTTGCTGCCCGGCGATGCAGCATGCCCACTGCTCCATGCACGGCAAGGAGAGGGTTGGTCCTCCCTTTCTGGAGCGGTGGGGGTGGGCAGGTCAGCCTGAGCACTGTCTGAGTGACGAGTGTCAGTGGAGCAGGATGAAGGAGGTTCATCATGGGAGGACACCTCCTCCTCATCCTCCTCGTTGTCATCATCCTCATCCTCAGAGTCTTCAACATCAGAGAACTGGTGCTCCTCCTGATCCTCTGATTCATACACTTGCTCCTCACTGGTCCCTGTCCATCAGAAAAGACTTGAGGTTAAATTTATCATGAGTGCACATTGTATTCAATTACCTATTGGTTTACACATGAACATATGAACCATAAGGCAAATAAGACACTCTTAAAACGTGTTAAAAAAAACAACACATTCTGCCTCCAACTAGACACATCAGTGTGTTCAGTTGGAGGTGATACATTCTGTGTCACTATTAACACAAGATGTGTTGAAATATTTCTGTGCCCAGTTATGGATAACACATTTTGGGCTATTTTTAACACAGAATGTGTTAAATATGGGTAACACAAGTTAGTGTGCACACTTAGGGGCATAGTAGACGCAGGGGACGCGAGTGATATGACCCCAGCACCCTCACAATCAGGTGATTCTGCCCCCTGCACTTTTTGCACATTGCACACTTCCTGTATTAAACTTGTGACTGAGGGAAAAACAGCCTTTTAAGATGAATAGCATTTTTTGAATGTAGAAACAGCAGCCTTTCTATGTTCATAGGTTTCATAAGAAAAAGCGGGCGACTAACATCTACAGCAGTGATTCTTTAGCTTGTATCATGGCTGTGTTTGTGCCACACGATCAGTGTGAAATGTGTGGTGAGTTTAAGGCCTTGTCACACAGAGAGGAAAAAAAAAACTTAAGATTTAAAACATACACATGCATATTAATACCGTCAGTAATATCATGTCCGAAGCTGACTGCAATGCTGTGTAAAGTTTTAAACAGAACTTGCTAGATTTAAGATTTGTGGATGCATTAATAAGCTGGCTGACCAATCAGAGCTGCATTGTCATGGGTAATGCTGTAGTTTTTTCGCTCATTTTTAATGCTCGGACATTAACTTCGAAAGTTTCCTTGACGTCACTGCTCGATTAAGACATTTGCTCTTCTCTCTGCGCTCTCAGAGCGACAAAAAAGCACATCAGAACTGATGGGAAAGTGCAGAGTGTTTAAATCAAATCCTTTTTTGAGAACTGTTTGTAATTATAAATTTGCTAACGAAGGATGGTTCTACAATATAAATCTAGTAAATAATCCCACCTCCTCCAATCAAAACACATGAAACAACAGAGCTGATATGATGGATAGAATAAATAAAAAGCAGAAAGAGGTGGGAGGAGGAGCTGGTGTTAGTAAGTTGTTAGTAAGACTGTTGTTTGCAGGTTTTGTTATCTGTATAAGAAAACATTCACATAACCAATAACCAATAATTCTCCACTGTTGAGAACAGTCCTCTCTTTCCATCGATAAGCTGCACTGTTATTGTGGAACCATGCTGAGATATTTCCTAAACTCAGATTAGTGATCTTTTTCTGCTAGTTTGGTATCAGTATCAGTTTGGTATTATTCGCGTCCTCAGGTCAAACAGTTCTGCGACCTCTGGTTTACTGGATCCCGATAACACCATTCTACATATAGATGACGAATGCACACACAAGCAAAACAGCTTATAAAATTGTTTAGGTTAAACATGTAATGTAGTCTACTTCTGTTTCTTTACAGTAGACAAACTTTGGAAGGACTAAGTGATAAATTCGGGGCAATGAAGTCTACCAAGTTTTAGAACGTTAATGTATTTTTTTTAAATACAGAGCAGATAAGCATGTTAGATGTTGTTTTGATGTTTTTTGAAGTTTGTTCATAAATCTATCACCATATATTTGTGAGCTGGTTAACTATACCTGCTGTAGTAGGACGTGTTTGTATATTGCTACTTCAAGTGCGCTTGAATTTTCGGGAAGGCTAACTTGACTGTGCAAATGCACTGACTGCTACTACTAATGGGGTGTCCAGTCCATGGAGTATCAACTCTTCGACTCTGATAGGACTGGGAGTCAGGGTCGATTCTTGGCCAACAACTGAGAATCGAATGCTTTTTCAAACATGTCGCTGCATGCATCCCCAAATGACAACCGTGTCCCTCTCAATTTTAAAATGGCTGCTACGGTCTTGTGCACACTCCTTTGGTTTAGTTCATGCAATTACATACACCAGGTTGGGCGACAGTCATGTGGCAGTCAGATTATATTATATATCCACTGAATCTCCATTGAATCCTCAAGCAAACATGTTCTTATAATTGAGTCGTGCCGCATCCATTCACAAACTATATTTAAAGCCTGCTGAATGGAGTGTGTTTGAATGAAGTGTCCTTGGTGCTCTTTGGTCTGTCAGGGAGAAAGAGATGGGGGGCTTTCATTCCCAGCTCTATATACAGAGCACAATCTGAAATTGGAGGCCAGATCAGAATGTTTCTCTTTAAAGCAGAGCAGTCCATTTCCGCTGGCCTTCACAAAACCGAGAGCACAGTGCATGGTGCATGGGTGCCTGAAAAAAGCACTTTTCAGCACAGACATTTATGAATGTCTACACTGCATTCATGATTTTCAAGTTAGAAAAGTTCTGGCCAAGAGTACTGAACAATGAAACTGCGGTTACATAAATATATCCAGGTAATTATTCAGCTACCGTTCCTCTAAAACATGAAAACAGATCATTTCACATGATTAATGTTAAAACCTGTCTTGCAGTGTTTTTGCATTGTTATGTCAGTCCTTGCTCCTACCACACCCCTGTCCACACAGTCAATTATTTTGATATTACAGTCGATGAAATCATGTATCTCAGGATCTTACCCGCTTCCTCAGCTTCCAGCTCCTCTATGGATTGAGACACTCCCATCTCCTGGCATTTCTTACCATGCGCCTTTGACTTCATGTGTTTAGTGAGGTTCCCTAACAGGAAGCAAATCAACAGAGCCGAATTTTAATATTTTAAGTTATAGCAGTTTGTAAGAAATATCACTTAATTCTGGCACCTTGTACAGACTACATATTATATATACCAACAGTGCTCTACCCTTTATAATTTTACACAGGGGCTTATGATTGAAGGTGTGAAGTGAAGATGAATAGCCCAGATCACAAGAGTTGTGTTTGAAACAAGACTTACCTTTGGTTTTGAAGGCAAAGTTGCAGTGCTTACAGACATAGGGGCGGATATCTGTGTGAGTGCGGATGTGCTTCTTCAACATGCTGGGCTTTTTGCAGCGAATCCCACACTCACCACACACATACTTCCCCCTCCCCCTCCCCCTCACATACACATATTCCTCATTCGACTTATACCTAGAAAGAGAGACACAGACACAGACAGAAAAAGTTAGCATATCAATATAAATAAATAAATAAGACTGTATCAGTGCTCATTGGCAGGTTTCAATTTTACCCTTCGTCCCTTTTTGCTATATTCACATACCCACTGCCAGCAAATGGGAAAATCCATGCTTTGTCCTGGGTTTCGGACAGCCATGCCAATAAAAACAGCAGTGAATAGGAAAGCCTGTTTTTAGCCAAGACCACAAAATCAGCAACATATAAAACTGCTTAGTGTTTGACTTAAATTACCAACTATCCTTCCTCTACATTTATTATAATCTCTTTTCTTGCTAAATCCAACATGACTGAGTTCTGTACGTCCTATTCTGCCTCACATATTTCACATGATTCAAAGTTATATGTGGCTTCTTTCAGGTTGATAAAAGAGTAAACGAGAATATTAATTTCATTAAGTTGTGTGATAAATGGATGTCATAAGCATTTTCATTCTAAGTATGCTAGAGTTTGTTAGAAAATGTATGTTAGGTTCTGCTTTAAAATTAGACCTACACGCTGAAGATTACAGTACACGTCTTAAATATTTTTTTTGCTCTATGCATGCTTGTATTATAATTCAAATATTATATAATTATTATATATTATATATTAAAATATTATAATATTATATTTAGTTTGTACTTCTTGTATTTTAACAAAGCCTGCTAAAAAGCTCTGAAGGATTCCTTCCTACACAAAGGTTTGTACTGGTGTGTATTGACATGCTTTGATACTTGATACTAACATGCTATAATATTACATTACAATATTATAATATTATTATTATAATATGATAATAAATACAACCTTTACTCAAAATAAGAAAAAACATATCTGTAAGCTCATGTGAAGGAACGCTTCGTTTTAACTTGGAATGAAAACATTCCTATCAATACACAAACAGTACTGTTGAGTATTTATGGAAAGATGGCTGCCTCTGTTATTGAGTGAGGGCACAACTGAAGGCAGTGGAAGAGAGCAGTGCCAACAGGAGTGCACACCGTGTATGCACAGACCTGTGTGCAACAAAGACAGAGAATCAGTGGGTGAGCAAGAGAAACCCAGAATAAAAAAGGTAAAGAGTGACAAAGTATGCCTTAAAACACAAGCTTGCCACTTTTTCTTTATGTAGCATTAATTGTTTCCTCCAAAGAAGAGTGAGAGTAAGCAAGGAAAACAGAAGAGATGCTGAGATAAGCGGGCACTGATAGATGTGAGAAACGGTGGAGAGGAAATGGAGTGAAAGAGAAAGAACACAAAGAGAGGCTGATGTGATTAGGAAGTGTGTGGGTGTGTGATTGAAGAATTGTATAAGCAAAATGGAGGCAGTGAGAGAGACAAAAGAAAGCTGCAGGCTGGTGTGTTGTTGCATCTGTTAGCACCTAAAACAATACTGTAAACCTGCCATTAGCAGACCAATGTGAGAGATAATGAATGCTAAGCCTTTATACGTTGCCATCAACAAAATCTTAGTTCATTTTAGACAGATAACCTTGCTGATGAGCAATGCAGAAAGACATCTCTTTCTACCCATCTACCCATTCATCCACTCTCATCACTCTTCTGTTTACCCATCTACCTACCACTCATCCAATCACCCATCCGTTCATCTCTTCACGCATCCATTCATGCATCCACTGATCTGTTCACCCATCCATCCATCCATCCACCCACCCATCCATCCATCCATCCATCCATCTGTTTGCCATCCACTCTCATCACTCATCTGTTCACCCATCTGTCCATCTATGCTATCCATGCCATCTATGCTATCGTCTTCCATTCTCCTATTTACCCATCTGTTGATGCATCCATTCATGCATCCACTGATCTGTTCCCCCATCCATCTATCCATCCGTCCATCCATCCATTTATCTATCCTAATACCCGTCCATCCATCCATCCATTCACCTATCCTAATACCCGTCCTTCCGTCCATCCATCCATCCGCTCATTTGCTCACTCATCTATCTATCCATCCATTCATTCATTCATCCATCCATTGATCTTTTTCACTTGTTCACCCATCAATCCATCCACCCATCCATCCACCCATCAATTCACCCATCAATTCACCCATCCACTTTAATTTTGTTTTTGTGGCTAAAAGAATATTTTACATTAGTTTCCCATATGGTGGCATTTTTTGTTCTTTGACAACAAATGTTACACTGTAAGGCCAAACATTTGTGGACACATTTGTGGATACTTATTGAGTTCATGTTTCTGCCACAGCTATTTTGCTAACAGGTGCATCTATGGCAGTAGAATGAGTCATACTGAAAAGCTCAGTGACTTTGAACGTGGCACTGTCATAGGATGCCACGAGTCAGTTTGTGAAATACATGCATATTATATATAATATGTACTATGTTATATAAATATTGTAATAGAAGTGTCTGGGGTAAAAACAACTGTGCTTTCCTGTTCCAGCATGACAGAGCCCTTGTGCACAAAGCAAGGTGCATAAAGACATGGTTTGACGAATTTGGTGTTGAGGAACTCCAGTGGCCTACCCTGACTTTTTCATCATGCAATTTATGTGCTGCCACACCAAAGACTTCATTTCAGGGAATACACTGAATGTAAAATGTTGTTGCCACCTAATAATCTTTAAGCCACTCATTTAAGAGGTAGCTGGTAAAATTTAAATGAGCAGAGAACTTCAGACATAAATCTCCCTCAGTAAATCAGTGCTCTATCTATATTCCTTCATGAAACTTTTAGTGAACTGTGAATCCCATAATGAACAGCGATGCTAAACAAAATAGTTTCAGTAGCTCTTTGATTCACCTGTTTCATTGCTTCTTTTCAGTCCAAATCCATCCAGCTAAGCTAAAATAGACCAACAATGGAAATCTGTGAACGCTGAAATCTGAATCGGAGTTCCTCATCAATACAGGCTTTAATGGGATGATGTGAGATACACAAACTGAGTTTAAAAGAGAGTGGAATATTACTAGACAAGGCTAAAGCCATTAACTCAAAAGACATTCTGAGGAAAGCTAAATCATCACCACAATAAATACTGAATGGAACAAATGGACCATGATTTAATAAGTTTTCAGTAATGACTACCTGGGCTTTATAGAAATAAAGAAAAAAAACCAGTCTGCTATTTACCCTCCTTCAAAGATGCAAATTCGGGGTGGCTCACTCTGCTTGGAGGTGGTTGCAGGCTCCTCTGCACTTTTCTCCTCTTTTTCGACTCTCTTACTCACAGGCTCCTCTTTCACTTTGTCAGATGTGCTGGGTGGTTTGGCACATACCTACACTCCAGACAGACACAGACCATAAAAAAATAACATATTTATACACAGCAACACTACACTCCATAGATACCAACAGCAAAATCATATTCATACAATATTGAACGTGGGTGGACGCAATAGGGTATTAAGAGTAAATTACAATAATGCTTACCTCTGATACCATGGGCTTTTTGTTGCTAGCAGGAACCAGCTTCTCGGCGGTGAGAGGTGGAGCTGTGGCCGTGGTATACATCTCTGAGCTATATGTTTGTTTAGAACACAGCAGTGACAGTACCATTTTTGTGGACAGACCAGGCAGATTGGGGTTATACATGCTGACACTCCATGAAGAATATACTGATGTTTGTGGACTTCTGTGTGCAGATGGGTTAGGCTTGGTATAATTTAGATAGCACCAGCTCACTGATGTGGAAGAGTGAAGGCTGGGGTATAAGGGGTCTCTAGATCTCTCGTTAATCTCAACCACTGATACACATCTGTGGCTCTCTTCCTCCCCTTCTTCTTTTTTAAATGGTTCAGTTTCCACCTGAACAACCTCCTGCTTGTTCAACACAGATTCCTGTAACTCCTCTGTTTTTTTCACTTCCCTCTCTTGTTCTTTTCCCCACTCTACCCCAACAATTAACCTCTCCTTGTCTGTTGCTTGACTCTCTTCCTGAGATTTCTCACAACTTTTTGTTTCTTTTTCCCTCCTTTCTCTTCTTCTTCTTCTTCTTCTTCTTCACTCTCCTCATCTTCCTCTTTGACTCGTTTCTGTTGCCGTTGTGCCTCTAAGGTGAGTTCTAGACTGCCTGCAGGGGAAAGCATTCTTTTACTTCCTCCAGCAACCAGTGGTCCAGAGCTTTCATCAGATGCGCTTTCTGCTCCAAACTCTAGAGGCAGTGACATAGGAATGCCGGTCTTGAAGTCAGGAGTTGGGAGCCTCAGGTAGGATTGTTGAAGCTTGCTGCCCTCTAGCTTTCCCATTATGACCATGGCTGTACAGCAAATTGGCTGCTGAGATCGTGTTGTTGCTAAAATTTGTGAGATGGTTGTATACATGGCGCTACCGTAAGTAGAAATCTGAGTCTGTAAGCGCACAGGGACCACAAGGGACACCACTGGTGTAAGCTGCTCAAGGCATGTAGCAATGATGGGGCGAGGCTGATGGTGGGTAACAAGCTGATGATATGAGGAACTTGGACTATGTACAGGGGGTGGAGATGTTCTAGATTCCCTGACAGGTGGGCCTGAGGGGACCTGAATTTTTAGACCACTAGTAGAGTACTGTAAAGGTAGCAAAGTTGGGAAAGGCTGAACCGGAAGGACTAAGCGCTCTGGTAAATGAAACTGTCTTGGATGAAGTGGAGATGGTACCGTATGTATGAGGGCCTGTTCAAACATACGAGTAGAAAAAACTTCAGATATTGTTGTTGTGACTGGCAGGAAACTAGTGAGCTGCCGTGGGGGAAAAGTATCTGGACTTGTGAGGGGGTAAACTGTATTTGGAAGAGGGAGAGGAGGTTGGTAAAGCTGCAGAGTTTTGCCCAGAGTCTCTGGGTTAAGACTAGAAATGTGGCTCGTTCTGTGCTCACCAATTGAGAGTGCAGGGTGGTCAGGGTAGGACTGACATACGATCGGAGGGTAGGATCGACATACAATAGGATTACTTTGTAAACTAGAGAGTGGCTCTTCCTGGTCAGGCTTCCCAAGAGTTGCATGCTTTACCAAGAGACATTTTCTCCTCTCCTTCCAAGAAGCTGAAGTAGGTTTTGGGGACAGGGATCCATAGTCAAATGACTTGCTTCTAGTCTCCACTATTTGGGCAGGATGTGGTGGACTTGCAGGAGCCTGCTCTGAGGCAGAACGCCGCATTTCCCTGTGAGAATGATGGTGCTGATAAGGACCTGGTACAGTTAGCATGTGAGACCCTTGGGAGCTCCACGTACCAGTATGCATCTCAGAGTCAGTCTTTCCTGATTCATCAAAAGAAGCAGATCGGCTGGAGGTATGGGAAACATTACTCTCTTGGCTAGGGCTGCGTGGCAGAGAGACTGATTCGAAACTAGATTCTCCTGATGACTGGGCTGCCTCTGCCAAACGGAGACGTTTCTTCTTTGGTGGCAGCTTCTCAGCAGGAAGCTGAGCCAGACTTTGACTACGCTGAGGCCATTGGAACTCCTCTTTTTCTAATTCTTTGGGGACACATGTACTTGCTGGAGGTGAAACCATCTCAGTATCTGGTTCCTCTGTCACCAGAATCTCTGGCACTTGAATGTTGGGTTGTCGAACTAACCTGGATGTGGAAGTTTGTTTAGGCTCCAGCGATTGTTCATGTTCAAGTTCTAATTCTTGACTCTCTATAGACATGCTTTCCTGCTTTTCAAAGGAGCTAGTGTGCTGGATTACAGAGATTTCTTTAAAAGGACCCATTTTTTCCAGCTCTGTTTGTGAGGGAGGACCTGAGAAGCCCTTAAAATCACCTTTAGTGCCAATCATTGATGTTGTGGGCTGGATGTTAAAAGAGACAGCTGCTGGACCTGGACTGGGAGGGTCCTCTTCAAGACTTTCTTCTTTTCTCCTTTTTCGAACAGCCATAGCCATTGCCTTGAACTTATAGTGCATCATTTGTGGGCGATCTTCTCGTACAGCACTACCTTCCTTCTCATTCTGATCGTGTGAAGGTTTATGCATGCAGGCAACTCTGTGGGCTGCATAACTGTCCTGCTTTTTGAATAGAGTTCCACATATCTCACACTTCCACCCTGATTCAACCAGAGTGGAAGTAGAGGGACCTGCTTCTGCTACAAGGTCAGCTCCAATTGGCATCTCAATGGCAGGCTGGCGTCTTAACATTCGATGATGATGACCAACCCTCATCTCAGCAGCTGCAGCCTGCTGTTCATCAAAAGAGTGGCTGAGGCGAAAGCTGTGTGAAGATGTACTAACCGGGTCATCTTGGCCACCAGAGGTTGGCACTGACTGACTTCTCAGAAGAACGGCACTGGAACACTGGCCAGCAAGTGTGTCTTCAACCAGTTGCGAATGCTGCCTTTCAGCAGCAAAACCACTGAGAATAATTTGTCCACTACTGCCACTGGGGCCTGGAACATCTCCCTTTGGATCAAAAACACAAGGATCTTTGGGTGAAGAAAACTTAGGGGACTCAATGCTACTTCTCCTTGAGAGAGAAGAACGCCTTGGTTTGACACTGTCAATTTCACTTGTGTCAACTACAGCTTCATTTATAGTGATTAACTTTGTAATGTGCTCAATGACTTGTGTCTTAGGCACAGTGAAAGGAATGGATTTTTCCTCTTGACCTAAAGATGATGAAGAAGATGACGACTGAAGATGTTGGTGTGGAATCCTTTGCTGTTGACCCAATCGTCCGTACTTGCCTAAAATAATTTCAGCATAGGATTTAGCGTTGGCATTGGGAGGGCTCACCTGGGAAAGCTCAGCACTCCCATAGCTAGAAAAGTAGCCAGATTCAGTGCTACCTTTACTACCAGGACCCAGTGAGGATGATGGGGTCTCGTCTGGTGAGGTCATGGGAACTCGTTTCCTTTCACTGAGTCGCATAGCTAACCTCTGTTTGACCGCTTGAGAGTCCTCTGTTCTTGGTCCCTCTTCTGAGAATGACATTTCAACTTTGGAGCTTTTCCTTAGAGCTGGCCTATCCTGAGAGGTAGATGGTCGACGCTGACCAGTCTCATCCTCGGAATCTGTGCTTTCTGCTTCTGTTGCTTCTTCTTGGTCATCTCCCACTGTTCCGCTCTCAGCTCCACTAAAACTGTGCTCTTCACGGGTAGACGCCAGGCCAGCTTTTATCCGATGGGCATGTGATTTACGATGTTTGTACAGGTTACTTTTAGTTTTGAAAGAGAAGCCACAAGGGACGCAAGGATAAGGTCTCTCTCCTGTATGAGAGCGGATGTGTTTTTGGAGGACACTGGGCTTTGCACATGGTCGGCCACAGTACGTGCACACATACTTCCCTGGCTTTTGGGGCCTACGTTCCCGTCTAGACGGGGTACCTTCCTGTACTACCTGACTGGGCTGCGATGGAGTCCTCTGAACATGAGAAACTTGGGTAGAGGATTCAAGACGGGATGAAGAGTAGCTGCCTCCAGAGGCACCCGGGACATCTGGAAGTTGCCAGGATGATTCCTGCACCTGAGACTGCTGTTGCTGCTGTCTTTGGAGCATATCACTTCGTTTTGGCTGTCTATGTTGATGGCGACCATGTGATCCATGGATTGGTTGTGAGGTAGCCTGTTCCTGTGGTTGAGGCAACCTACCCCTAAGTGAAGATTCGGACAGAGGCTGCTGTTGTCCACCAGACCGCTCCCCATCACCCGGCCGGCTATGCTCTGCCTCCATAGAATGTGGGGAGGAGGCCTTACGGATACACTGGGAATGCCTCTATGAGCACCAGTCCCCTTAACATTATTGCCTTAGCCACAGGGCCCCAGGGATCTACCTGGGCACTGAAACATCTTGAACAAAATAGAGGATTTATAAAATATGTACAAAACACTCTAAAGGATTACTTCTGATTTATGCCAAAATTCATCCTCCCTATCTTCCATCCAAAATTACTCTTGGCAGAATTCATCATTGTGTCACTCCTTTGGACTGAGTTCTGGCAATGGAGCTTGGCAAAGGAAAGCACAGGATGTTTTTGAGCTACTTTCTGCACAGATATGAGATCAGGTTTTCAAGCCCTTCTGTCTCTCTTCTCCAGGTTTTCACCAATGAGCACTTCGGTGGCCCTATAGAAAAACAGAAACAGACTGTTGCTTTACCGTAGTCCTTACTGAATAAGAGGTTACGTTCAGAATTAGCGTTAAGTACTATTTACTGCTGGTACATCTATAGCATAATTTTGGGAACTGAGCTGTAAATGTACCCTAAATAAGCATTGTTTTTTTCAAGATTGTTGTGAAAATATATGGAGTTGTGCTCAGAAATAATACTGTCTAGACAGAAGAAGTGCCACCAATTACTTGAAGATACTGTACAGAACTAAAAAGGGTAATACACAGGATTTTAAAATTTCTCTCTGTAACGCTATAGAGCTTTTGTGATTGTTCTTATTTTTTTCAAGTCAATACAGTATTATTCCAGACATGACATATATACAAAGAATTCCAGTGCATATAAAGTAGTTATTAAGGCTCTCTTGAAGTATTTCTGAATTTCTTCAAGAGAGCCGGATGATGAATCAGTGCTAAATGTTCAGTGCAAGACTGGACTGGACTTATTTGTTCTTGTTGATTCAAAATTGAGTGGAGCCAGTATTCTCATATCTGAAAACTCAAAAGCAGAAGCTTCTCACAGCAGTGAATGGACTTAAAGAAGCAACTGTAACACATACAAACAGAACACACAGGCATCTTACAAGGTTTTACTTAAATGTGGAATCTGAAGGGAAGTTAGATATTGATAAGAGCATTACTGTTTCTTCCACTAAACGCTCAGAGTCACTTCAAAAGTATGATGAATATGTGTTTCCAGATAGTGGTGAAAGGATATTATTTACAAGTTTCTTGGGAAAAAACACTTGGGGTAAACACTGGAATGAATCAATGTTTAGCATTCATTACAAGTGGAAAAATGTTCATATTAGAATGTGGCACTGCTCCTCAAAATATTGCCACAGGTCTTCTCCTAAAATGGCAGTCTGCAACAACAACCCAAGTATGCAATAAACTCTCAATACTGTCCCTCTGAGTTGTTACGCCTCATGTTGGTGGTTAATAGAGAATGAAGTGTATCCATTGGCAAAATTACTGAAGTTGTCACCAAATTGCAATCAAGCATATCTAGGCCTGATAACTATTGAAGAAAGACTTAAAACAGCCCAGCAAAGTTTTGTCCAACAGATGGTGCTGTAGATCTAAGACAATTAGTCTCGAGGGTTTATTAAAAGATCCGTTGGGGGTGGGACACAAGGTCATTTCATGTCCTCCCTGAGTATCAGTGCTTGTTTGTGATGGATGCTGTTTGCTTGGTAGTGCTTTTTTAACTTAGTGGACAAAAACTCAGAGGAGGGCGCAGCTTTTACTATGTCTACGACGTTTCAGAATACAGCCTTCATTTTCAACAGTCTATTTAGGTTTGTACTGAGCCCTGCTGGAGGTAAGGAGGACAATGATAAGATGAGAGAGAGCTCTCTTTGTGAATCTGGTAAATTATTCAATGTTCCAGGCTTTTAAGCAAAAAGGCCTCATTGACGACTATCTGCATCCAAGACTGGTGCAAGTGTGCAATGGCGACAGAACTTTTTTAATGAGGCATCTTCCTTATTTCCCATATGTCCACAAAAAACACTGCAAACTTCAGCTTCATTACTTGGTGTTCACAGAGAAAGGAGAAGGAGGAGGCGAGGAGGCAAAAAATAGCCTCAAAATAGCCTGACAATTTGTTGAGTGAGTTTGCTCTCCTAAACATCTGGCATAAGCTGAATGATGCGCAACAATTTAATGAGCTTCAATACAGGGCTGAGGTATGCTTTGATTACAGACTGGTTTATCAACAGCAAACATTTATTACTTACAAACTGACAAGACCTTATAAATCATTTGGAAGTGGTTTTAAATGTACTAATGAATTTAATAAAAATAAAAAAAATTCAAATTCCTCCTCCTTAGCTAATATTAAAACACACACACACACACACACACACACACACCACACACACACACACCACACACACATTATCCACTTCGCAAGTCGAGGGTACTGAGGGTACTGTGGCACCATGTAATGAAGAATGTAGAAGGCTGAATAATTCCTTTTTCCAACATTTCCTCCACAGTCTGGTCAATGTATGTATGTATGTATGTATGTATATATATATATATATATAATATATTATATATATATATATACACACACACACACACACAACGATCAGGCATACTTTACAATTATGAGCACCTCCTTGTTTCCGCGCTCATTGTCCATTTTATCAGCTCCACTTGCTATATAAGTGCACTTTGTAGTTCAATTACAGACTGTAAGTCTTTAGTGTGTTAGTGTGTGTTGTGCTAGTACAAGTGGATCAGACACAGCAGTGCTGCTGGAGTTTTTAAACACTGTGTCCACTCACTGTCCACTCTATTAGACACTCCTACCTTGTCAGTCCACCTTGTAGATGTAAATTCAGAGACGATAGCTCATCTGCTGCTGCTTATGTTGGTTATCCTCTAGTCCTTCATCAGTGGTCACAGGACGCTGCCCACAGGACGCTGTTGGCTGGATATTTTTGGTTGGTGGACTATTCTCAGTCCAGCAGTGACACTCAGACCAGCGCAACACACACTAACACTCCACCACCACATCAGTGTTACTACAGTGCTGAGAATGATCCACCACCCAAATAGTACCTGCTCTGTGAGGGTCCATGGGGCTCTGTGAGGGTCCAAGGGGGCCAAGTATGCAGAGAAACAGATGGACTAATTGTAATTGTAGAACTACAAAGTGCACCTATATAGCAAGTGGAGCAGATAAAATGGACAATGAGCGTAGAAACAAGGAGGTGGTCATAATATTATGCCTGATCGGTGTATATACACACTGTTTTGTAACTAAAACTCTACAACATTGTCTCTCTCCTCTCTGTTTTCCTTTGTATTTTTTGCCCTCAGTCTTCATAAAGAAGGTCTGGCTGTAAATCTATGAGCAAGTAGCCTCCCAGCCCTTTGAGGAAAAATTCTTCAGAGTTCCTTCAGTTTATTAAATTGCAAGTGTTTTGACTGGATGGTCTGTACTCAGAAAAGCAAGAAAATGAGTATTTATACATAGATGCGGACACGGTAGAAAATGGATGAGTGAGTGAGTGAAGCAACAGATATTGCTTGTGTAATAGATGTCTGTGAATGCATCCGTGATCAGTGTAGGACTTAATCATCTTGGACACAGTATTGACAAAACCTTTAAACAGGATGATTATGGGAGTTTAGGAAGAGGAAATACATCCTATGAATTATTCATGGAACTAGAGTGACTGCACAAAGCAGGGAAACCCTATAATTAGGACATTTCTACACTTCTACATGTATGTATGTCGTCGCTGTCTGATGAAAAACATGTATCTCCATTTTTAGTTTTCTACATCATTTGAACATAGCATCTGTTCTTTCTGTTGTGTGAAAATTTCATGATGAATGGACCAGTAGAAATTCCCCAGAATCACTAGCAATAACCTCTTCACATTAACTTACATTATAAGTTAACTATTTACTATTTTGGATTTCTTTGGACAATGACGATGGCACACCAAACATGAAATCCCTCAAATGGTTCACATTTTCATGTGTAAAATGAGTTGTTAACTTGTTGCTGCCAATTTCAAAATAAACTGTGTGCTCACCTCTTCTGGAGGAGTTGAACAGATAGACTGGCAGAAGACAATATGAATCCATTACTCCACCAATACATTAGTCAGTATACCATTAATTTTGTGTAATGTTTTATAAAAGACAGTACACTACACAAAGTGGAATTTATATGCATGATGAATATGGATGAAACTATATACACAAAAAAGAAGTTGAGAAACCAATAAATCATTATGAATGTTTCCACCAAAGGCATATAGATGTCACAGAAACAAGTTTGTTAAGAAAAGTCTACTTTGCCACCTTCTGCTGTTAAGCAGTGATTTCCAGGATCTTATGACAGAAACGTCCCTTTTTTCTACGTATTGTCACTGTCGGACCAAAATCTCATATCTCCAAAATGTTAACTTTTCATGAAAAGAAAAAAATTAATCGTCAGCTTTAATGTAAGTTACCCTCGGGGTAAAACCTTTTAATCCAAGTATTTTTGAACCGTTTCTATTTATCTGTTCACCATATAATTTTCACACAATGTAAGAGCAGCTGGAGTTTTCAAATTAGGATAAATAAAAAAATGAATGAATGAATGAATGAATGAATGAACGAATGTAACAATAACAATTTTAACTGCTATTCCAAGCAAGATATAAAGATATAAATGTGAGTAATACTGTTTAACTGCTTAATTTTCTTTCCATATTTTTAATTCATACACAAAATGCTAGAAAAAAAGCCTAAGGATGCTTTCATAAAACAGTGTTTAACAAAGGAGAATGAGGGATAAATGAATGAAAAAGGCTTGTGTCTGCTGTGGAAAAAAGAAAACAAAAAAAAAAAGCCCATAAACTGTACTGTCTCTCTTCCCATTTTCACTCCTGGCAACCTGGCGGCGGTTCCCATAGAGACGGGCCTACAGCTAGCCGTGGCAGATGGAGGGTGAGCTGGAGGTCTAAATTTGTCCCCCAGCAAACTCTGTGAGTACAGCAGCACGCTGGCAGGAGGAAGTGGGGAAACAGGCTGACCTCGGCACGCGAG